AAAAAAAAAAAAAATCATAAATTTTTATAAATTTTTTTATTTTTCGGTGTAACAATAAACATATACCGAACCGAACCGAAAACCGTGACCGCGAAACCGTGAACCAAACCGAACCGTAGATTTTGTGAACCGTTCCAGCCCTAGTAGGCATGCCTTTCTTTAACAGGGAGAAAGAAACTGCTCAGAGTTAATAGGAACGTGAGTTTAATTATATGTAGGGCAGCAATTAATGATTAGTTTGCAAATCGATTAATCTGTCGACTATTTTTTTTAATGAATTGATTAATAATCCGATAACAATCCGATATTTTTTTTTTTACTGAATCAAATCAGGTGAAACTAAAACTTTTCCAAATGAGTTCTGGATAAGAGCATATTGACAGAGCAAAAAGATTTTTATCTTAAGTGCAAAAATGTTTATATAATTTGTTTTTACAGTTTAGGTATAATTGCTGCTCAAGCTGGATTCCCCTGTCAGCTAAAGGCATGTTTTAGAGTCACTATACTATACTATGACCTTAAGCCTAAAGCTCAAGCTTGGTTAGATTAAGATTAAAACATTTATGTGTCATAATATTCTAGTCAAAGTCCAGATCTAGATTTAGTACAGCGTTTGGTCACCCAGCTAAATAAAAGTCATTCAGAGGCGTAAATATTACAGTACATGGCCTTTTAATGAATCACAACTTATTGCTTCTGTTGAAATAAGAACTCTGACAACATTTTAATCCACTGTTTATTTGCAGTTTTTGGTTTATAAAATCAGGACAAAACATAAAAGTTTTCATAAAGAGGAAGGAAGTTTTTTTTTTTTTTTCTTACGTAAATAATTTTATCTACAAGATGAAACATACTTTGCAAGCTAATGACAAGAAATTTAGATCGAAAAACTTATTTAAGATCCTTTAATGTCATTCTTTAATGAAAATTAAATTAAATTCAAATGTTCTTTAAAAAAAAAACTGCCAAAGCTTCTAAAAATGGTATTTACTAATAAAATATATTAAAACCATTAGTTGGCTCAATTTAGCCACGATTAATTATTGTTGAGGGTCCAAAGAGCAAGCTGCGGCTCTATAGCGGCAGATGTGAGACCCCATTATAACACATTATTAAGTGAATTTACTAAAACCAGGGTGGTCTAATCATTTTGTGCATATAAGCAACACACCCTGGAAATTTTCATTTAAAATTTTGGGAAAATGCTCATCCCATTGCTCATACTACACACTTATGTTGTACCTTTTGATATTCTGGTGAATATTCTCAGCCATCCAGGTCATAGTTATTCCAAAAATGTTAAAAAAACAATCCACTGGACTTAGTTTTCAACTTTGAAGACATTTCGCTTCCCGTCCAGGAAGCTTTTTCGATTCAAAGTGGAATTAAAATTTTGAATTGAAAAAGCTTCCTGGATGGGAAGCGAAATGTCTTCAAACTTGGATTGTTTTTTTTTTTACTTTTTTTGGATCTAATTTTTGATGTTTTATCATTTCAATTCAAAATCAAATGCGTTGGATGCTGTGCAGGTAATGTGGAAAACAGTTTGTAAAATGAAGAGTTTTGCAAAGCATCAAAATACTGACCAAAAAGGATTAATTTGATCATAAGTACTGATGTAATAACAGTGGTATTGTTTCAATACTTGTTCCTAATACCGTATTTTCTGGACTATAAGCCGCTACTTTTTTCCCACGCTTTGAACCATGCTGCTTATTAGAGGGTGTGGGTTTTCTGTTGATTTTTCCTAACCACCAGGGGGGCAGTGACAGTTGGAAATGAAATAATAAGGGACTAATGTTCATTTAGTACAAGAACATGGCAGCTGCAGGAAAAGAGGAGAACAAATGTCCTGAATCATAAATTTAGACTTTTATTTGCTGCATTAAAGCTGCCGAACCAATGAAGAGACTGGGCTCAACTCCTTCAGAGCTGAAATAACAAACAGACGAAGCCTAACCTTTCAGTAGAAGCTCTTACTGCTGCGAGCCAACAAGCTAACAGGAGCTAGCATTCTTTGATGGGAGACCGTTTAATTAATAACAGCAGCTTATAGCCCAGTGTGGCTTATAATATTTAAGTTTCCAGTCTTTTAAAAAAAAATTTGGGTGTGGCTTATAGTGGAGGCTTTCAACAGGGGGTCAGCGACCCCTAAGGAGTCCATGGAGGTACTGCATGCTAGCCAACAAGCTAACAGGAGCTAGCATTCTTTGGTGGGAGACCGTTAAATTAATATCAGCAGCTTATAGCCCGGTGTGGCTTATAATATTTAAGTTTCCAGTCTTTTAAAAAAAAATGTGGGTGTGGCTTATAGCAGAGGTCTTCAACAGGTGGTCCGTGACCCCTAAGGGGTCCATGGAGGTACTACATGGGGGTCACAAATGTTGTGGTTGATTTATTTTTTTTTTTTATATATTCCCCCCTGCAATTTTTTCCACTAATTGAAATATCTTTAAATCCACATTAATATGAATTCAAAACACTGAAGTAAACAGATAAATGTAGGCAGAAGACATCAGTAATCAATGCACACATTCAGCGACACACAGGAGCTCTTTCAAGCTGGGCACCGTTTCATTCACAACACCTGTCCCATCAACCAGGAATCAGAAATACTTTGATAATCCCAGGGTGGAATTACTTTTGTTACATTACTCCATATGTAATAGAGTGACAATAGGACCAGTTTAATATAACACAATTTCATACAACATATATAAAATTAGGGGGTCCCCGCTCCATCTCGCCATCAGTTTGGGGGTCCTTGGCATGGAAAACGTTAGAGACCCCTGGCTTATAGTACGGTGCACTTTATAGTCCAGAAACGATGGTAGTTATTGTGTGGTTTTTGTTTTGGTGAGAAATAATGACTTGAAAGTATCTGTTAGTAAGAGTGCGAGGAGGCTGTCCCAGGAGAGTGAGGAGGCCGTGGTGTCTTCAGGCGGGAAGGCAGACCTCCACTACTGCGCCGTGTGTCACGACTACGCTTCAGGTTATCACTACGGCGTGTGGTCTTGTGAGGGCTGTAAGGCCTTTTTCAAGAGGAGCATCCAAGGTGAGACTTTAAAAGAAAAATCTTCTACTTAAGATTTTTTTTCTTGTTAAAACAACCAAACTATTTTCTATAATTTATGTTTGCCTTCATAGTTACTTCCTTAGTTAAACTCATACATGACAATGTTAAAGTAGAAAGTTGTAAAACATTTAGCTTTAACAGAGAAAGAAAAACTGATCATGCTGTGACATGTTTGGATTTTTGCTGTTGGGTTCAAATGTAATTTTTTCCACAATGACAAACGAGACGGTCTCCTTGTTTTGAATACTGCTTTATTTGCAGTACAGCCCTACACAATCATTAGCACCCCAAATAAAGACAAGGAAAAAGCCTCATGTTGCTTTAGGACAGTTTTACACTGAAAAGTTTCCTCCAGCTTTTCAGCAAAAATGTTACCTCCCCTGATCCTCTTCCTCACAGCTCCTGGTGGCAGCATAAACTGGGATCATCGCCCAGCCTTATTAGTCATGATTGTGGTTTTTAATCTACTTAATTATTACTGTCGATGAAGGCCAGTTTCAACAAGTGGCTGTTTGTTGCCTTTTTCTCATTTAAGATCAACAAACATCTGCCTTATTTTTATGTGTTTTTTTTTTTTTCATTTTGAAATCTGGCTTCAACAAACGGTTCTTTGTGCCATTTATGGGAGAAAGTCACGTATTACTAGTTAAAGTCCCCAATTCTGATTAACATCTGTTTTTATTTGAAATTTAGGATGTCAGTTACTGAGGCATTTTTTACCAAACCAGTTTTAGTGTCATACAGGTACCCCCCCCACCCCCAAAAATTCTGGTTCTTCCTGTTTTTCCTGTAGGGGACGACAACAAAAAAAAGCAATTGGTGTCTTTGCACACATTGTGTTCTGGCCTTAGATCTGGAGAAAGTCTTGTGGAAAACCGCAATGAATCAAAACAATCGTTACTCCTGTGTTTATAAGCATTGCATCAGTTTCACTTCCAGCCTGCCTAATTTATCATAAAAATTAAAAGAAGTAGTAAAAAGAGTTCACAGCATCAGTGTAAATAAACTTGTTAAACTTTCAACTCCTTTGGTAGGGAATTAATAAAAGCCATAAAATAAAAAAATGCACTTTTTGTTTGTTTGCAGGGCATAATGACTACATCTGTCCAGCAACCAATCAATGCACCATAGACAAGAACCGACGCAAGAGCTGCCAAGCGTGCCGCCTCCGCAAATGCTATGAAGTCGGCATGACCAAATGTGGTTTGTTGGAGATTTTTTTTTTTTTATTATTATTCATTTATTTTTAC